CCTGCTCCCGGCAGCCCGGCCCGTCACGTTCCCCGGGAATAAGGAGCCCGGCGCCGCCAAAGCCGGTCAAACCCGGACACACTCGGGCACTGCCTCGTGGGGGAGGACGCAGATTAAGGCTGCCTGCAAACGCGAACGCAGGATCGCACGTGAGCGCAAAACGGCTCCAGTTCTGGGGCCACCCTTAATAGCTTTGTGGGGACACGCCCATCAGCTGGCAATAGCGTGTGAGCTGCAACAAGAAGCTGCAAAGAGAAGCAGCCGCACAAGCAGCCCTGCCCAGCCTTTCAATGCTGCTGCTCGGAGGGAGATCAGATCCTGCACGTTACTGCAGAGAAAACAAACATGTCCCCGGCGCTGCGCAGAAGGAAAGCTTGGACTGGGATTTGGAAAAGGTGGTTCAATTGAAACTGGCAATTTTATTTTCTAATTTAAAAATAACCTGTGTGATCAGACAGGCGGTGCTAGGAGGCAGGAAGGCATATCGAATAAATTAATTATACGCTCCCATTCTTTTGGGGGGAAGGTTTCTGCTCCTTATATCAACCACGATCTCCAACAAAAGTATTTTTTAAAATACACGTTGCTACGAAAACCATTGTAAACAATGAGGTTCGATAAACGTGGCTAGTTTTATGATCTCACGATTCCTGGCTGCTCTGTAGCAACATGGCTCTTTAGCTGCTCCGTGTATTCGTGTAAACTAAGCCTCGGACCGCCCCTGGCAGACTACAACCAACGCTGTAGTTTGACCATTTTGAATCCGGATGGTAATTTCGAAGTAATTTTATTTTTAAGGATGGTCCCTTAGAATTACTTCGGCGGATTGTTGACGCTGGGTTTCTCTTTATGCTTCACCTGGGTCGCAATACACACACCATGTAGAGCTCTTCAATTAGGCCATTTTTATTAAAATCAAAATATTAACCCCACTATTAACTGCTGCTCTGACAATAAATAACAATAACTTACTTTTGTTCTTTAACGGCTCAAGCAATCTATCCTCCGTCCATAAATTAACATTTTCAATAAAAGTCTCGTTTCTGTATGTATGGTTTCCAGCAACCATGCGGCTTGGGGGGATTCCTCGGCCCCCACCCCCGCAAAAAAGGACAAGGCTCTCAAGTCATGGATAATGCAGAGTAGGGCAGGACCTGGGATGGAGAGGGCTACTCAAAAGACAACATCGAGCTGAGATGATTTAACTGGCTTCCAACCAGTCTTTTTCCCCCTCACAAGGAAACTACTATGACACCGTACGGAATGTGGGGCTAGTTTTAGTAAATCCAGTTTTGCTCTGGGGGAGGGAAACAAAATCCACAGAAAAGAAGGGGGGCTCTCTCCGGTTTGGTGAAGGCAGCTAGAATCTTGGTGCTTTTTGGCAGTCAAGACATATTTTTGTTTGTTTTTAAATAATATTTTTAAAGTTTTGTTTGGAGCTCTGGGCCAGCCTGCGGCTGGGGCTTGTCTCATGCAGGGAGCAGGAGCATGCGAAAGTCCAAATCCGCTGGGCGTGCTTGTCTCACGTCTCCACAGGACTGGGCACCATGCTGTTGGGGGTGTCAGGTAACTGGGAAGATAACGAGGTCACATCGCTGCCGGAAGAGTTACCCAAGGAGCCAGATTCGGAAAAGGATACCTGGGAGGGGAAAGGAAAGGGAGCGGACGATGGATGAAAGCCAGGTGGGCAGAATTCAGATCCCCCAATCCTTGCCTTGACTAGACAGGGAAAAGCTGTTCTAAAAATCGTGTTAAATAACCCGTTTTAAATGGGTGCTGCTAAAAATATTCTAGTACCTGATGAAAGGCAGGGTTTGAAAACTAGCTAGGAGTCACCTGCCCCAGTTAAAATACAGCATGCCCTGCCTCCTCGAGGGCTTGCGCACGTGTTTAAAAACGCTCTTTGTAACCCTAGTCTTGACTTATCCAAGCAGGGATGCCCCCTGGCTAAAGAAACCTTCCATCCTTTCCAGATTTGTTAGAGGGTATTTCCATAGACACCTACAGCCTGGGGCTAGCACAAGGTGAGTGACACAACGTGCAGAGCCCAAATTCCTTCTCTTGCCCAAATTCAAACCATAACATCCCTCTGCCAGGCAGGCCTTGTGCTGGCAAAATAAATCTCATCGTTAGTACAACGATCCTTATTTGCACTAAGGGTAAGTACAAGGATATTTAACTAAATAGACAAAGGGAGCTAATGAGAACCCAGGCGTCGGAGAGAGACTGTCCCTCCTCTGAGGAATCTCGGTGGGCACTAGGGGTAAAAAGATCCCCCAACTCAAACGCTGGTGCCAGTCGCACAGTCCTAATGCAGCCCCCGGGGATTCCTTTGCCACGGGAAGAGCCCATTAAGAAATCGGCTAGACTTTTCGAAGTTAATTTCAGACTAGGCAGTGGTCCAGTGGAAGTTGCGCAGTGCTGGCTCCATACATCACAGGATGATGTATGTGCAGCATATTTCATCAATTCGCTCTTCCAATGCGAGTAAATGATGGTTTAATTATTCACGCAGCACTCCTAGCTCACTTTTCCATTATATTAGCGAAACATAACACAGGATTAATTTTTGATTATCTTCTAAAACATCACAGTCACATCGGAGAAGCACATTAACGGGGGGCCTCAGCCGCGTCTTTCGCTAAGCCTGATTCCCCTCCCAGCACGGCGAAAAGTCAGCACAGCCCGGGTAGTGTTAAAAACCAGAGCGCCCGGATCCTGAAATCCTCCCAGATTTCCAGGCAACTCACAGCCAGTTTTGCTTGTCTAGAGAGAATCTCAGTGTCTAACTAGGAATGAGTCAGAATATCAGGATCGGTCCTCTCGCAGCTATTTACCGCAGTGGCCATTTATACAACACCAGCTGATTTGTCCCGCAGAATTTCGTTCCCTTCCTTTTTGCAAGTGCGATGGAACTGGCTGGTTTATTGTGCGCGCTAATACGGACACTTGTTCCCTCGCCAAAGAGCGCGGGGACCTGTTGAAACGGGCACGCCCCGAGAATACGTCCCTGTCTCGAATCCAGTTTCTATCATTACTGTTCGCCTGGCTTCCTTGCATTGACACTGCGCTGCCCGTGGATCCTCGCTCCTGCCCGGAGTGGGCCATTACAGCGCCTGCATGCAGACGGCACTGGCTGAGCTCCCCTGGACACAGCCCTTTCCCCTACTTCCAATCGAAACGTGCCCAGGGAAATGGAAGGGCGCCCTAGAGCGCCTGAGCCATTCCACCTGCGGGCACGGGGCAACTGTCAGGGGCCCTTCCCGCCTCCTCCAAGAAATCTGCTCACGGGGTCCCCGGAGGCAGCTGGGCTCCTAACTTCTAAACGGGGCCGGGGTGACGCTCCGCGGGGACATCGGGGATTGGGGAACAATACAGAGGGGCCCCGCTCCCGCAGCCGGGCCGGGCCGAGCCGAGGGGCTCTTACCAGCTGCTGGAAGGCGGGTTGGTCCAGGTCGCTCTGCAATGCGAATTCACTGAGCGCTTTCCAGGGCGGCTGGTAGGTCTGGACCTCCACTGCGCTGCCTTGCACCGCGCTGTCATGACGGATGGGGCTCCCGGCTACCAGGGGGGTCCCGGTCAGGCCCTGCAGACTCTGGAGGGGAGACACACAAAAAAGCTCAAGCCGGGCGGTCCCTGCGGCCCCGGGCGCGGTCTGGGAAGTTGCGTGGGCCGCAGGAGTCGGCGCGGGGCCCCGATGGCCTCCCCATGGAGACCGCCCAGCGCCCCGGCCCCTCCAGGTGCGGGGACCCCTTCGTCTGACCGCGTGAAACCTGCAGCGCCAGCAGATCCGGTCAACGCGGCCGCGCGGAGCTGGCAGGCCGCCGCCAGACACCGAGAGTCACGTCTCCGCCAGGGACCGTTCTCAGCGCCTTTCCGGGCGCCCCTGCTGCCCCCGGCCCCCGCAGCCACAGAACTGAGCTGCCCCCGGGCCCCGGGCAAGGGCCAGGCCAATGCTCCGGCTTCCCAACAGGCCAGAAGCCCCGGGGCTTCGTGCGCCGCGCGAGCGATTTATCGTTTTGAGCAAGGGCCCGAGAGCGACACGCTGCCAGGAGAAAACCGCTCCCCGGGGACACGCGCGGGCCCCCTCGCAGCGGCACTTCCAAGCGAAGCGCTCTCCGTGCGCCCCGGGACGATCCGCGCTGGACGAGCGCTTGTAACGGGGCGAGAGCGCCGGGCCCGCCTGCTCTTGTCTTGACTGGGGCATTTCTCTCGGCTAACGACTGGTCCCTGTCACTGCTGCAGCCAGTCTCGCTCCTGGGGCCTGCACGTGCTGCCGCGACACGCAGGCAGCGCAAAGGGGTTTGGGTCGGACTTTTTCACTCCACACACAAATCTGATGCCGGGCCTGTGGGAGCCCATTTGCCACAGAGGAGCGTGGAGCCCAGGGTGTCTTGTACCAACACTGCATGGCTGTGCGACCACGCGCCCCGCAGAGATTTCATCCCCTGCTGTTCCCACGTGAGGGGGTGGGGGCAGCCATGGCCTAATCCCTGGGGATTGCAGGGAAAGACGTTCCCTTGGGCAAAATGGGCCCTGCCGGGCGGGTGGAGAGATGCCCCGAGCTTACTGTCTTGTCGCTGTGCTGCTGCTGCTGCAGCTGCTTCATCAGGATGGATTTCTTCTTGTCCTTGCAGCGCTTGTTCTGGAACCAGACTCGGATCACTCGGGGGCTCAGGCCGGTCATCTCCACCAGCTGCTCCTTCATCAATGCGTCAGGCCGCGGGTTGGCCGCGTAACAGGTCCGCAGCGTATGCAGCTGCTTCTCGTTCAGCACCGTCCGGACGCGGGTGGTCTTCTCTGTCTGTTTGTGCACATGGGGCCGGAGAGAGGGCTGGCGGCCGGGCACGGAGTCTGCAGCGGGGAGAGGGGAAACAAAGAATTCCAGTTAGTGCTGGGGCCTGAGCCATT